CATGGAAGACCGGAAATACGCTCCCATGCAACAGGAGGACGCAAGTGCGGAGTGAGGGGTCCACTTGCAACATTTGCACAGGGCTTAGTTAATAGGTCTTTTGGCTTTTGCTCTATAAATGAAGCGCCATACAAAAGTCGGTGCATGCAGTTCATGTTTGTCAACTGAATTATTTCCAGCTGAAAGAGGACGCTATGAGAGATTCGTTTGCGGATTTGGTGATGGACAAGCACGAGGTATCGCTTATTTCTTGTTGAAATCAAAGATTCAAAGGCAGGTGTTATACAATTGGACTTCCATTGAAAATAAAAGAAGGCCCGCTAGTAAAAAGGGCTGGATAGAAAGAACCAGAGGAAAAGAATTCGCAAAGCGGGACTCTTGTTTTCCTTTTGGATTTCCGTTTCGGTCATTGGTGCTGCTATCATCAACGTGAACGCTCTGCTCTGCCTCCCTGCCGAAAGGAGCAGAATCTGGGGTAGCCAACGGTGAGCTAGCAAATGGGCCAAAGAAGACTAGGTTCTCAAGGGATAGGTAAAAGGGACTAAGTTCTAAAGGGATAGGTAAGTCTTGCTAGGCTGCTACGGGCTCGTCCGCGGAGGTGCAGCGTTTTACTACATTGGGAGCCTAGTTTCCTTTAATAGTAATCGAATTTGCTCTTTTTTACAGACAATTTATCGTGCCACCTGCCTTTAAGTAATTGACAATTAACGTTGTGTCCAGAATTTGCAATCGATTGACTTTGTGATCCTGGTGCTCACCATTTGTTTTATAACTTATATCCAAATAAATTGAGCTTTATCTACAATTTTTATTGAACCATTGGTGTATCAAGCGACTGGTGTATGACTCAACGGGTGATGGGTCAGGAGGCGCCATAGCATTGTCGCGAGCGGCGCGCGATCCCTTATCCCTTCCGCGGCCGAGTTCACAATCCTTTTGGCACTTTCTACCCACACCACAAAGACGATTTTGTTATTTACGGATTTTGCCTTATTCGTCCTTTGATTCAGATTAAATACAAATTTCTTCGAATGTGTAGCATCATTGTTCAGATGATGGCCTTCGGGATAAACTCTGAATGGAGTCCACTGCAAAACGAAGAGCCGAAGCTTGCCGCCCTGAAGCCTGTCACACCGCAGCCTTTCACACCGAAGCCTGTAACACCGAAACCTGCCACACCGAAACCACCACCCACTCCCATTCAAAAGTGATCATCTTTCTCTTTTCTGATCATCTCATCATACTGTTTCCACCGCGATTTTCCTCTCATTTGGAGAACGTAACATTTCTCCAACCTAATGTCTTTCTTTTCTAGAACCTTTTCAGTCGAAGTAGCCATAAAAAAGCAACTAAATAAGTAAAAGCCATAATTATTAATTCAGTTAGATTCACCTTCATATAAGCTTATGATTTTTTCCATGCAACCAAGACGAAACCCAGTCACAATAGAAACCCAAACCGAAGAGATTGCGCCGAAGGTGGAAGGAACCCCAGTCAAGAAAAAGTTGGATGTGCCACCGGTAAGTGCTTTGAAGACAAAAAAGAATTTGCACTTCTGTCCCATATCAAGCTACATAAGCATCTCATTCGCAATTAAACTTTTCCTAGATTGCAGTAGTCCTCCAGAAAATCCACTTGTCTTTTATGTCGCGCGATGCTGAAAAGAAATTGCGCGCTCGGCTGAAATGGAGTTCCCGGCAGGCGGCAAGCTCATGGCGGCCAACAGACGAAGCTTTCTCCGGATATGAGTGACCCTTCACTCAGCTCCCCACTATACCGGGGTAAGTCAAGCTGCTTATCGCAAGGGGTATAGAGGGGCCAGAAAAAGTAGAACACCTTCAATCCGGCATTCAAACAACCACTAATCTCAGTGGGCCTGATTCTACTTATGGGAGGATGGGGATATCTAAGGGATATTTTGCCGTAAAACTTTCATCAACAGCGGCACTCTGTGCGACGAAAAGTTTGATGATGTGCGCCATAAGCAAAGTGTCTCTTTTTTGGCCACCCCTGTAGAGCTGGCTAAAATCATATCCCGTTTAGGCCTTTGGACCAATCCCTTCCACTAATATGATTGTAAGGGTGCTAGGGGCTTAGAAAATGCAACTACTTTCATGTAAATAAGCGCTGCCATCGTTGCGACATCTGCTGTCTCGCTCCCCGCCATACTCTCTCCTTTCCGTCTGTCGTTTTCTCGCCTTAGCACCCAGTGTCCCTTAGACTGTTTCGCCCAGACTCTCCTACAGCACAGGGAAAAAGGGCCTTGCTCAAAGTGTTTCCGGTGTTCTTTCCTTATTTCTTCACTGGTAAGTCAATTATTAGCATTAGTACTGTTTCACCTTAGCACTACAAATTTACCCGCTTTTACTATCGTGGGATGGGAGCTGCGCGCTTCTCAGCCCGTCATTGGAATCTTAGGGAACGCAATTCATGCAGAGCTATCTGATTGTAGTACAGGCTCCCCGAACCACTTATGGTAGACGAGTTCTGTTCTACCTAAAAATATCTATGTTGATTCAGCTTTGTGCAGAGGATTGAATGCGTGAGGGCCAGTCTTTAATTAGTGGATCCAACGAATCTATTCAGGATATGCCAGTTCTGTGGAGAGACAGCACCCGACTATAGATTGGAGGCTCGTCTTGAGGCACATTACAGAACTTCTTGTGTGTGTATGACCAGATGCCGTTTCTGTTCAAAGGTTATTCTGGTGAGTTGCTTCTCTTCAGCTTTCTCATCATGCTTTTCTCTAGAAACACCAACGAATTGACTCGGACAGGCTCAAACTTAGGGAATTAATAGTCATTGTGCGAACACTCATACTTCTCTGGAACCCTATCCTTTTCGCTCCCCCCTTAATGTGCCCCTCAGAGGTCACTCAACGAAAAGGTGTTTGCACCCACATATATACACAGTTCGCCAAGAAGCTTGTGAACTGTAAGCCTCGATGGTAAAGATAATTTATAAGCTTTGACTCCTGTGTTCACGCAATGAGATTCCGACTTTTCACCTCTGTATGGAACTAAGGCTCCTTCAGTATCCAGGTCGAGTTCGTCGTTCATCGTTTGCGCCCTCTTATAGGCCCACTTACACGGTATGCCCAAGACATGTACAAATTTCCCGCGTGAGACGTGTCGCATTTGCAGAATCAACAGCACAATTGGCATCAAATATGCATTCCACAATACTTCACAGCACGCAAAACACACGATATCGATTTTTCGAGCCACGCAACGTGGCGCTAATCAGTCCCCACAAAACAGACACTTTTCGGCGCAAAAACAGACATAGCGTAATTCGACTCACTATTTCGTTGTGCTCCCTAATTGTCCAAAATTCCTTTGGAGAAGCTATAGCTCGTTACTCTCATTTGTTGGTACCATTTTAAATCACCAGCTGAATATGAGGTTGTTCAGGGACACAGTTCATTTACAGGTGCCTCAGTAGATGACGCATAGATCACTCGGCTGCCCGTTCGTAACCGAAACGAAATGGTACCATGTGATGCTTGTGGTATGGCCGTTGACGCCACCGACAACGCTAATGGAGTGAAACATCCATCGTGCAGAGGTCCGGCTCTGTTATCTCAACAATTATTATTTAATTATTTATTATTATTATTATTTATTATTTATTGTGAGCCTTGAATATCTGCGCATTAAGGAGCATTAGCAAGCTAAAAGAAATCCACCTCTCACCTTGCAGTGGTGTGGGATGTATACACTTTTCAAGGTGATGATTATAGGAGCAATAACAGAATAAGCGAGTTAGTCAGAGTCCTTTGCGTGTAACGGCTCCACCCAGCCCATATTTCAAAACAAGCTATAGAATTATAACAGAGCATTTTTTAATGATAGGTGAAACTCCAGTTCGGGGGGGCCACTCCATTGCTATCTTATCCGTAGTACTAGAGAGCAGTTCTTTGGGCTATCGAACACTACGGATAAGATAATAAGTGAACGACTCATTTCGAGCGTACTTTTGATAAGGACCGGTGGATGTCCTACATTCCACACTACCTGCCCACATCCCATCCACTTTTCTGCACAGGTGATCCACCCTGGAGCTCCTGCACCCTTAGCCCTTTGCGGAGGTGTCCTTTCTCCTGGTCCAGGACCGTTCCCTTGGGTCATGGCAGGCGGAAATGTGAAAACGTTTCAGGGTTTCTCACCCATTACACCAATATTTATCAGAAGTCTACTTTAAATGAGTCGATTACGTGTCGTGAGCCCTCTAATCCTTATCTTGAGTATTGAGAAAAAATGGAGTGGCCCCCCCAACTTGAGTTTCACCTCGGACTTAAAGGGTAGGAACAAGCGCTGTATATTCAGCGAATGTGTGCTGAAATGATTTTAGTGTACTTGTAATCGCTCACACCCATGTGTATAGGATGTTTAAACTTCCAATTGTCTTCAAGTTTGCCTTAATTAGACAAACTTGCCCGGCAAGTTGGCAAGGTTGACGCGTGAGGTTGCGTCGCGTCGTCAAAAAGTCACAATCACTCGTAATTATGCTAAATACTCTCTGCTGGATAATTCTTTTTCATCTGAAGATGCTACCCGATTGTGTCACGCCCTTCGTAGCGTCGTTGTCTACTGGGAATAATGGACAGCCATCCAAACCGTGGACGCTGAATTTATCTCAAGATTCGAACTCGCGAATCGAAAAGCACTCAATAGAAAAAACACTGATCTTCTATGTCCAAGTCCTTATTCCTTGAATGCGCCCATACTTTTACTTCCGCCAATGTAGTGATGTTTTTGAAGTAATACTATTTTTTTTCTTCAGGACGATTCCCACGACGTGCTAAAATGGTGTCCATTATGCTCGGTTCGTTGACGATTCAAAGCCACGTAATGTTCCAATTCCTCAGAATTTATAGTGTCTTTTTCAGGCATGGAAAACGCATTTGGTAGAAGTTTGTTACAATAATCTAAGAAGAAATGGACCTGACATCGATCCCGAGCTGCTTGTTAGTGCCAAAAAGTCCAGTCGTCCGTGAGTTCTCTTGAAAGCTTTTAGGAGTTCGACTTACCCCTTATTTCAGAAAACCAGACGCGCTTAGGTGCAGACCACACACCACAAGAGACGACAGCCACGAAAAAAGTAAAAACTAGTTTCCAATCCCAGACTGTCCACATTTGTGGAGGTCGTCGTCGTTTGTGGTGTGTGGTCTGCACTCGACCCTCTTCTGTTTTTCTTGAACTGAGGTAAATCAAAGGAGATTTAAGGAGTTCAACAGCATCTACAAAAGCAGCAAGAAACCGACGCATGATTGATGCGGATAAACTGGTAACTGCTCTACAGGTATGAATCTGTCGTGTGTTCAATGAAGCTCTGCTACCTACCCGTTTTTGCTCATTCTAGATGAGCAGGGTAATCACTAAATAGTTTTTCCAACTTTTGAAAGAACGAAAAAGGAATAAAAGAGTAAGTGGTCGGTATTTGGCACCACTTTAACCCAACTTAAACCCGTAGTAACCCATAATATTTTTCCAGACTGTCCAGCTGAAGAAGAAGGAAGCGGCGAAAAAGAAATCGGCAGCAGCAGCAGCAGCAGAAAAAAGCGAATCACCCGTTCCAGCCGCTACAGGTCCAATCGTAGAATCACCGATTGCTGAAAAAGTGTGATATTGGGCTAAACAGCCGCTACGCGACTGTACACCCGACCCAAATGTACCAATCAATATGCACCTCTGCTTCAAAAAACCAGAAACGCGTCGAGTGCAGACCACACACCACAAGTGACGACGGCCTCCAAGTAAATCTGGTTACTAGTGATTCATAGTGATAGCTGATTTTGGTAAATGATAGTTGTAATTAGTGACAACTGATAGAATACAACTGCAACAGGCTAATCATTTCATTGGCAGAAAACATAACATTTCCTTCAAAAAGGGTGCAGACCAAACACCACAACTGACGACGGCCTCCAAGTAAATCTGGTTAGAAGTTGTTCATAGTGATAGCTGATTTCTGGTAAATGATAGTTGTAATTAGTGACAATCGATAGAATACAACTGCAACAGGCTAATCATTTCATTGGCAGAAAACATAACATTTTGTGAGGCCGTCGTCGAGGTTGCATGGTTGCACCGCAACCCCACTTTCTCGCTTTTTTGCAAAGTATCGGGATATACTATTGTTTAGAGCGCCGTCATCACTTGTGGTGTATGGACTGCACTCGACGCACTTTTAGGGTTTTCTGAAGCAGAGTATAGTATCATCATTGTATCCTAGTCCACGATCATCACCGCAAAGTCGGCGCGTCTAGAGAATGTGTGGAGAAGCATTTTTTATTTAGTTGAGCCCTCTGTCAGATCGGTTTCTTACCTGCGACATATTTATAGTTTTTATTGACGTTTTGTCGCTATAGGCATTGTATGAACTTATGTACCTCTGAATTTGTGTTATGCACTGTTGATAGAATATATCAGAAATCGATTGTTATTCCGAATAATAGTCTGAATGGTCTTTGGGCAACTTTGTGGAAACACTTGGTGCATGCGTTCATGAAAGCGCGATGTTTTCGTAGTTGACAGGGGGGGGGGGAGCAGCTTGGCTGCCCGCGCTGCGCGGCCATGTCTTGACCCATCTTTTCGGACGAGATTGGTGTGAATCCCGTACATTTCCGCTTTTCACGACACGTCGATAATTTGCCCCTTCTCCCTTTCTCCGTCCGCCCCTTGAACTGCCTACATTTCTCTCGGTTGACGAATTCGTTCGCTTTGCACTAAAGGGCGAACAGTGCCGCGCACCGCGGTGGAGACTGCCCGCTAACGAATTAACATCCAGAGTTCGATGATACCATAAAGGCACATTCTTCTCCACTGCTCCCGTCCACTCCTTATACAATACGAGCTCTATGAATTGGCGGTGCTAACTTAGTTGGGGGGGGGCACGCGGCGGCGCGGCAGTCTGCTCACCTGGGCTCTCTCGAGCGAGACAGTGTAAACTCGAACATTCCAGCTTTTCACGCATGTCAAGTGACTGCCCCCACCCCCCCCCTAGACTGCCTACACTCCCCCTGGCCCACGGATTTCCGAACATGCCAGGCGAGCAGACTGCCGCGCCGCCGGCCGTGCCCCCCCCCCCAACTACGCTTAGGCGAGCGGGGGGGCGGGACAGTCGTCAACCGCCGCAGTCTAGGCCATGCCGCCTCTCAGTTTGTGAATCCGCTTCATCAATTGTGCCATTGCACGTCATATGACATACCCCTCCCCCTTCACGCTCACGAATTCATCACCCGACGCCAGAAACAGCAGGTAAACCCATCTACGGGCAGGAGGCCGGGTGCAGCAAGCCCAACTAGGGGGAGGGCATCCCCAACCTTGGGGACATATCCCCATCCTCGACATTCTACGAATCGTTCAAGGGTTTCGTCGCAGGACCCAGGGCTTCCGCATCTCGAAGGCTCACGGACCATTAATGTTTCGTAGCACTATGGCAGTTTCGAAATACAATGGCACGGCACACATAGGAACCGTTACTATCTCTTCACTTCGTGGCTCTTACGAAATACAGTGGCAAATGGTCTTGGAGGCTGAGCGCCTCTTTCACATCGTTAACCATTTTTCTTCAATTGCCTTTCCCTCTTTTTTTGATTCTGTGGTTTCTTCTGGCTCAGTGTGGCCCCGTGAATGGTGTCAGATTCACGGAAACGCTCAGTTTTGGCTGACCCTTAGAGGAGAAGAGATAATTCCGAAGTGTCTAAGCAGTCTTCCTTCTCAAGCTCTGCCTTCTCCCTTCTCACGTTGAACAAACTGCATCGTGATGCCCCCTAACTAGAATATACCCCGCCAATTTTCGCCGAACTTCTAAAATTCCTTTTTTAGCGCAACGAGCGGTGGATCCCGCGCCACGCCCTCCTCTCGCAGAGGCACATTGAGCCTTTCCTAGGCACTGTTCACACATTGCGCCACAGCCGAATGACGCTCAAAACGAACGAATCTGCGCAAATGCGAAATGAATGAAATGCGTATCGATCTACAAAATGGGAGGAGCATCGAATCGCGCAAAATCTGCGAATCCTTTTAAAAGAAATGGGTGTCTATCGACCGAGTCAATCGGAGATCGACAGCGCGAAACGGCGGTGCAAAAATCCTCCAGCAACGCTAATACAGCGTGCTCTACAATGTCGACACGCATTTAATCCTTTTCGCATCTGCTTTCGCGCGTGCGCAGATTCTTAACCCTTTCGGACCTGAATTTTTCCCCGTGGAGAAATTTTTTCTAGCTATTGTTTATACTTGTGAGCATATAGGTATCATTATGGCGAAATTTGGAAGCTATTCGATCACAAACAAAGAAACTAAGAAGCTTTGAAAATTGGCCCACCTTCTTAGTTTTTAAGCTTATGTCGAAACAATTCGAAATTTCATAGTTATGCCGAAAAAGTTTATAATCTTGCATAACATTATAACCCATAATTTTGATTTAGGAATGGATCTACTTCAAGTATTTTAAGACAAAGTCACACTTACTTGGCCGGTTGCGGGGGTCAGCGCCCATTCACTGTTGCACTTGTACACAAATACTTGCAATACTAACAGCAATAAACAATGAAATGGCCGGTTAAGCTCATAATTAGGAAGGGGAAGGTTGACTGAAGCAAACTCTAGCAGAATTAGAAAAACTATGCTGTTTCAGCGGAAATGCAAGCGTTTGAATTTGGTGGTGGCAATTGCCACCGCCAGGGCCGAAAGGGTTAATGTTGATATGTATCTGATTCTTTTCGCAAATTTGTGAATATTCGATAATTTTAAACTCCGTGAACCAGTGTCCTTAGAAGAACACTGCGATATGCGAACAAACCAGGCAAGCGGTAATGGCGAAAAACTAAGGATACGTGCGAATTAACCGTAACGCGAAATTAGCAGGGTGTAAGAAACCCGAAACCTGCTTCACATTCTTCCGCGTCGCCAACGTGATAGAGAAGAACTTAAACGGCATAATAGACATTGCCGGACAGAAAGCGGTCGCGTCGCGGCCTTCGTCTTGGAGCGCGTCAATCCAGCACGTAGTTCAGAGGCTTTCGCAACACGTTCCCCCAAAGTGTAAATATGCTGTCGACGTACTTCTTGTAAGGCATGTGAGCAATTTGGTACTAATTTACTAACCTAACTTAAATTAAGTGATCACCTTTTTACATTGGTTGGAAAGCCTCTCTTCTAAAGCTGAGGAAAATTTATGATTATCTCATGGAACTATTCTGGGTAATCCAAATGCTCCTAACCGTATTTTCGGCAAACAGACATGACATTCAGACGTAACGGAATAAAAAGAACTTTAGTTTATGAATAACTGTATCGCAAACGGAGAGCGAAAACTTGTAGCAAACCTAATGGCGTATATGGTATGCTATACGACTATCGTCAGCAGACATTCACGCTTCACCTTTATCGCCCCCCCTCATCAGACTCCGCAACTATCAACGCCCGTCCTGTCGCATCATCTCCCCCCCCTGTCCCCCCCTTATGCGTTCTCCGACCATTCCTACCTTGCCTTCCCCGTCACCGTTCGCGACTTTCCACCACCTCCTTTCGCCCTCTCCCGCACAAAGCACCCGTCCACCCCACCCCCGCTACGGACACGCAAAACCGAGAAGACACGACAATAGCTGCAAACGACCCCTCCCAACGCGCTGCTGTCGGAAACACAGACCATGCCCAGGAACCACACCTCATTTGAAGCGAATCGTCTCACCGAAATGTCATGAATATGAATGAGCATTGGCTCTTTCCTCAGACCCCCTTGTCTATTCTCCACCCGCCCTGCTCCACAGTTCTGCGCACAACCCACCCACGCTTACACTCACTCCCCCGCCCCCCCCCAATGCTTCTCTCCAACTTCGGCTCACTTCGCTGTTCACCCCAAGCCCCCCATCCACGCCACCCTCTTCACCTCACACTCGCCCCTCCTCAAAGAGAGTCCGCGATCCTACACCCTCTGCTCTCGTAATTGATCAACGGTCCCTCTCAGGACCAGCCCTTCGCTCACACATGAATGACTCCCATCGTTCCCCTGCATTGTTTAACTTCTCAGGAATCAACTGCCAGTCCTCTCCTCGCGCATGCCGCGAGTTTTCGATCGCATTTTGTCCTGTCCAACGTCGGCTGCGAGGGAGGAGGGGCACTCTGCAAAAAGGCGCTCCTAGGACTAGCTACGGCCTGCAGGGAGAACCGGGTATTTTACAGACGCGACATACGCAGATTCTTTCGCACACGGAATTGTCCCGACCGCCTTCAGTCCCTAGAAACCATAGAGCGCTCTGCCCTCCCTCTCCCCCCCGCCCCTCCTCCCCACACTTCCCCTCACCAAATGCTTAAATGCTTTGCTCCCCCCTCCCCCTCCCCACACGCCAACAGAGACCACACATACGTGAACCCAAATCCTCTCCCCCCCCCCCCCCCCCCCCCCCCCCCCCCCCCCCCCCCCCCCCCCCCCCCCCCCCCCCCCCCCCCCCCCCCCCCCCCCCCCCCCCCCCCCCCCCCCCCCCCCCCCCCCCCCCCCCCCCCCCCCCCCCCCCCCCCCCCCCCCCCCCCCCCCCCCCCCCCCCCCCCCCCCCCCCCCCCCCCCCCCCCCCCCCCCCCCCCCCCCCCCCCCCCCCCCCCCCCCCCCCCCCCCCCCCCCCCCCCCCCCCCCCCCCCCCCCCCCCCCCCCCCCCCCCCCCCCCCCCCCCCCCCCCCCCCCCCCCCCCCCCCCCCCCCCCCCCCCCCCCCCCCCCCCCCCCCCCCCCCCCCCCCCCCCCCCCCCCCCCCCTCCCCCCCTCCCCCACCCCCCCGCCGCCCCCCCCACCCGTCAAGTTTTCGGGCGGAAGGCCCGCCGACGCCGACCCGTTTACTGTCGGCAATTGTCTATCTATGCCGTTTAAGTTTCTTCTGGTGAGGGGGAACTTAATCCCCCTAATCTCGGGACTAGGGGGATGATATCCCCTGCTGCAGGAGACGCAGGGGTCGACGTGCGAGTCGACCCGCTCTCCGCCACCGGTTGCGGTCACCACGAGCCACCAACAAACGCATGCTGTTGCGACTCGACTGTCGCATGTAGAGCACTATATCCCCAACCTTGGGGACATATCCCCAACCTTGGGGACATATCCCCAAGGTTGGGGATCCATCCCCAAGGTTGGGGATCCATCCCCTCGTTGGGGAGGGGAGGGATCCCCAAGGTTGGGGATCCCTCCCCTGTCGCTCTGTGGCTCTTCGCTGACCCCGGCCCTCCATCTACGGCAGATTGCCATCTTGCGTTGGTTACGGTATGCGACTGAATTTGGTGCAGTGGCGCTGCGGACCACACAACTACCGAGAACGCGATGCCAAAGAATTTCTTCAAAATTGAATTGCAGTTATTATGCAGGCTTTTTTCTTTACAAAGTGCTCTGGTTACTTCCAGCTCCTTGTCTATTGATTCGTCCTGTATTGTTCATATCCTGCTTTTAGTTCTGTCGTTTTTTCTATTATATGTATTGTGATTTTATGGGATTGTGGAGTTCCGCGTGATTAAACAATGTTTAGGATCCCGTCATTGAAAGAATATGCCGCGTTCAAAAAGGGATAAAGAAGGTACGGCTTTGCACACTTTTCAAAGTTATTTCATTTCGGTTCCATTTCTTAGGATTCGTCGTCCTTTCACCTACCATGTCCTTAATTTCTCCTGATAGAAGCCCTATCAGCCTGTGTTCCTATTTCACCCGTTTTGTTGTTTCGAATGTTTGTAACATATCCTTTTTAGTTTCCTTAACAAAGGTGAAGAAGAAGACCCGTGAAGTAAAAGAAGCTCTTGTCAAGGAGGTAAGCTCAGTTTCACAACCCGCAGTTCAAGTATTAGAAAGATACTCGGCGTTATTGAATCTCTATGCGCCTCAGGATAGTAACAGTAGGACACTGTGTTGGAAAACAACAATGGGGATAAAGACATCGACTATTTGGTCTGCTCTCTGCGATGACCTGCGAGGATAAGAAGGAGGGTCGACGGACTACTTGAACTCAGCCCTTTAAACCGCCTCTGCGCTCTCTCGCGGGTCCCTCTCCTCTCCAAGGCTTAGTCCTAGGGCATTCACCCGTTCTCTAATCGTCTGTGCTCTAGCCATCGCGGCAGGACCATTGAGGAAAAATCAAGTCTCTAGTAGCATTTAAGCTGCTGTGGTGGGATGGATGCTTGCTTGGCTTAGGTGTATAGAATTTCGATCTAATCCTGGATCATGGGTGTTATGATAGGTCTCACCTGGAAAGTGAGGAAAATAAAAGGGATTTTCGTCCCTTGCATCTTGGTGAGGGTTTGATTACGGCCCCGCAGTGCCTGGCGTCAGTTCAGTTGAGAATGTAATTCGATTTCAGATTCGCCACTCTGTGGATAAGTATAAGCATTTATTCGTGTTCACAATAGAGGATATGAGGAGTACACAT